CTTTAAAAATTAATTTTACACTTCTATTAATTTTTTTTTATTACGGTTTTTATGTTGAAGTAATTTTTTTTTCATGAATAATTCTACATTAAAAGGTTTTGAAAATTGTAGAAACCAAATGTTTAGATTTTATAAATTAATAATCATTTATTTGGATTAATATATATATGTGTGTGTGTTTTTCTTTTTTTATGAAAGCAAAATAAGATAAAAATTATATTTCTATGAAATTTAGATTTTTACAGAAAGACTGAAGGTGGTTTATTTTCAAAGATTAATTTCATTGACATTTCTGTACAAATATTCATAAGCAATGATTAGTTATACCTAGCTATTAGTATTTGCTTTTTTTAGATTTTCTGAAAATGCATAATAATTTTAAAACTTATTTTTACGTGATTTTGAATTTGAGTTAATTTTTATTTTATGCATAAAACCGTTTTTGTTTAAAATGGAAATAACAAACATGATTCCCATTTTAAAACTGTTGAGGAATTCCAATTTTAATAAACATGTTTGTGTTAAACATTTTGACAACTTATTAAACATTTTTGACAAACACATATAATCATGACATGTTTTCTTTGATTTTGTAAAATTATTTTAAAATGCAAGGGACTTTAACAATTTATTATAAATAATATGAATTATTCATTTGTTAATATTCATTTTGAAAAATGAATTAAAATTCCAAATAAAGTCACGATTTTCTAAAGACAATTTAAACAACGTTTTTATTAGAAAATTGATTAATATATGTCATATAAAGTTCCCCAATGAAAATGAACTTCGTTGCCAGGCCATTTATTTATTTTATCAATAGCATTACATTTGAATATTTTCGCTTATTACAATTGTTGCTTAAGATGCATCGTAGAAACCTGCTGTATAAGACAGAAAACTAGAAATAATACTTATCTCACTGGGAGACAACTCTGAAGTCTTCCGCTCGAGAAAGAAAAAAAAGAAGATTCCTTTGAATGTATGACGGAATATGAAAATAATTGTTCACTATGAGCTATTAGGGGGAAATCAAACAATAACTACTGAAGGTTACTGTCAGAGGCTAAGACACTTAAACACATTTTTCTAGGAAAAACGGCCTTTGAAATGGACCACTGGGAGTTTCGAAAAAAGAAATTTACCCAGTCTGGGACTTCTGCACGAAAACGGCGAGAGTCAATGACCAGGACCAGAGGTTTCCTGTCAGCAACATCTGTAATGTGGACACCCATGGAAGAGCCCCATTTGCGGTTGGACCCTGCTACCTCATATTTGGACAATAGTGCTGGACACCACTACACACCTCGTCATGATGTGTCTATGTTTCCATGCTGCCGTTGATATCATCACAGTACCTGTGAGTGAGTTTAGTTATGGGTTGGACTGGTGGACATTGCACCTGTATTACAATAAGATGTAGGGACACTCATATTTTTTATTATTAATTATTATTATCGCATATTGTCTACATAATATGTTTAATTAATGCTTAATTAGAGATTCACTTGTACTAATATATTATTAATAGTGTGTTTTTACTATTTAAAGTGTAAATATTAATAAATACATTTTATTAATATAATATTAATAAATACATATTAATTATTAATATTAAATTATATTAATAATAAATACATTTATATTAATTACATTAATACACTTATACTTTTATATCAATATTAATAAATACATTTTATTTATATTTTAACTTGCTTTTGAATTTATTTCATGGGTTCACTTCTCCAATATGTATAAGTCTCTGAAGGTATTCGAACCTGTAGGTTATTGCTGAATTCTTAGTGGTTAATGTGTGTATTAGGTAGAGAAATAACGTCTCTACATAACCGACTCTACATATTCTATTTAGGTATGAGTTTTAGCTTATAAGGTTTTAAAGTAAAGTGCCTAACAACAACACATGAGGAATGATGCTTTACCTATCTTATTCTCTCGAACTTGCTCCAATAAATTATCATCATTTTAGAAGCTTAAGTAATCATTTTGTTGGACTTAAGCTTATGTCAAGAGAAGAAGTCGTATATATATATATATATATATATGTGTGTGTGTGTGTGTGTGTGTGTGTGTGTTGGCTCTAACTCAAGTCTTATCCAGCAGTTAAGTGATTTTCCTCCAAAGATGATTCCTTTGAAACTATGGTGGAATATGAAAAAGATTGCTCACTATGAGCTATTAGGGGACAATCAAACGATAACCACTTGAAATTATAATATAAGAGCTAAAAGTTATAATATATCAATAACTGCAGAGTATTGTCACAGAGGCAAGATACTTAAAAGCATTTTTGTAAGAAAAATAGCCTTTAGAAAAGCAGTCATTCTGGAGCATGAAAATGCCACTGTAACAATGATTAAAAATTCTCCTAGAAGAATTTGGCTGAGAAATCCTATAAAATCCTGTCCACCCATCCTGTTTCCTCGAACTTGCTCCAATAAATTATCATCTTTTCAGAAGCTTAAGTAATCATTTTGCTGGACTTATGCTGATGTCAAGAGAAGAGGTCAAAATGAAACTTGAATCTATTAATGAATCTTTCAAAACCAAATGAATTTTATAAAATATGCATGGAAAAGGCAGACTATAATGATCATTAAACAAATATATATTTATATGCGTTTCAAGTTTTATTTTATTCGGAAAAACGGACTGAACTTTCACTGCTACTTGATATACTAAACCTGATATGCCCAAAAAGTAAGACCAATTATTATTTTTTTTTCAAAAATTCTTTATTTATTCTTGCAAATTTATTTCATCGCCTTCAAAGTAGTTCCCTCCTGGACACAATGCACTTATGCCAACTTTTTTTTTCCAATCCTCGATGCATGCTAAAAAGTCATCGACAGGGATGGCCTTCAAAGCGCGCGGCGATTCACGTTGAATCTCTTCAATCGACTCAAAACGGTGTTCCCGGAGAGGTCTTTTGAGTTTAGGGAATAGTCAGCAGTAGCACGGTGTGAATACGGTGGTTGGGGAACGATATGGGTTTCATTTTTGGCAAAACTGTCACGAAGAATCAATGCAGTGTGAGCTGGTGCATTCAGTGTTTTCGGTACCAATCGAGGCCCAAAATGAAATTGACCTAATCTTTTGAAATTCCAACCTCATCAGCAAGGTCTCTAATTATAAATCGACGGTTTGCAAACACCAAATCTTTAATTTTTTGGTCTACCAGAGGACACTTCATCTTCAACGCGTTCTTTGCCTTCTTGGGACTGTTTATACCACTTGTAAACATTTCTTTTCGATATAGGAATGCTCACCGAATGCCTTCTGCAACATTCTATACGTTTCCGCAAACAAAATTGAATTCAAGTTCTTTGTTCAATTCATTCAGACATTTGAAAAATTGCTAGAATCAGTTTTAGCGTCTCACAAAGCCGAACGTAACTCAAACACTAATGAATATTTTGACGTCAAATTTTACTCAGTTACAGTGCCAGCAACCCAAAAAAGAAAAAAAGAAATTGAAATTCCATAAGTCCCGGGAATTTTAAATTGAAAATTCCCGGGACTTACTGTTTTGACACAGTAGAACTTACACAGCAGACTTAATCTGATGTCAAGAGAAGAAGTCCTATATATATGTGTGTGTGTGTGTGTGTGTTAGCTGTACCCAAGCCCTATCCAATAGTTTCGAAATGATTTGCGTACAAAAAAAGATTCTTTTGAATGTATGGTGAAATATGAAAACAATTGTTCACTATAAGGTATTAGGGAACATTCAAGCAGAAGAATTTGGCTGAGAAACGATGCTTCATCCCTCCTGTTTCCTCGAACTTGCTCCAATAACTTATCATCATTTTAGAAGCTTGAATAATCAATTTGCTGGACTTAAGCTGATGTCAAGAGAAGAGGTCGAAATGAAACTTGAATCTATTAATGAATTCTTTGAAACCAAATGAATTTCATAAAATATTCTCGGAAAAGGTTGACTATATTAATGATTAAACATTAATGATGTATATGTTTATATACATTTCAAGTTCATTTTATTCGGAAAAACGACTCAAAATTTTGTTACAGCACGATATACTTGAACAGTTTTTAGGATACACGAACTCCATTTCCGCCACTAGGTGTACCCAGTTTTTCGCAATATTTGACCTATCCCCCTTTTTAGAAAATCCAATTTTTACGTTCCCTTCCACCAAGAGCGGAGAACGCGAAAGGCTTTTGTGTGCCCGAATCTCCAAAATGATGGATTACCTTCGCCGCCGCTGAATAATAGATTGTCATCATCGTAATGGCAGTCGCTGGCTCGCGTACAAATATGGGCCGGCTTTTAAATAGGGTCGGGCTCATATGCTTGCCTTGCTTGCTGCCGAGGGAAGATTTATTTAAAAGAAGGGAAACTGCACCGATTTTTCCCTCTCTAGTAATGCTTTTCGTTTTGTAACTATAAGAAATGATATCTAATGCAAGCTTTTTTAAAAAAAGTTCTTTTTTTTTTTCTTTAAATGCACCTCGCAGTATTTTTTTTATCCACTCTTATTTTTGTGAAAAATGAAAAGTTTCCATCTTTACAGTAAATTAATAACAACGACAAGAGATAGGAAAAGAACATTTATAACAGTATCTCAAGGAGTAATTTATTACGATTTTTTTGTTTTTCTTCTATTGTCTCTTTTATTCTGGTAAATGAATCTGGTATTAAAAAGAAGAAAGATTAGTATTGTTGTTATTGATAGATGTAACTAAAAACTATTTGGAATATATGAAAATATAAATTAGTGCCAGATACTATTGGTGCATGTTCGATAATATATAGCATCATTAGCTTAAAACTTTTAAATAGGATCGGGCTCATATGCTTGCTTTGTTGCTGAGGGAAGATTTATTTAAAAGAAGGGAAAAACTGCACCGATTTTTCCCTCTGTTGTAATGCTTTTCATTTTGTAACTATAAGAAATGATACCAATCCAATGTGAGCTTTTTTTTCAAATGCACCTCTCAGTATTTTTTTTTTTTTTTTTTTCGTTAGATCACCGAAGTCAAGCATCATTGGGCGCGGTCAGTACTTGGGTGGGTGACCACCTGGGAACACCGCGTGCCGTTGGCAAATTTGGGACCTGAATGGCCGAGTGTCTAGCGCTTTGGCGCTCGGTGCCACAGGTTTCGGGTTCGAATCCCGGCGGTGCCATGGATGTTTGTAGTGGTTCGGAATCCACTTTAAGCCGTAGGTCCCGGTCTCCTATGACTGTAAGAGCGTCACGGAGCAAAAGTCAGGCTTCTACCTACGGGTGCTCCATCACAACAGAAGCTGTTTCCTTCCCCTTCAATCATGAGTCCGTATGGGCTCGTGGGCTTGGCCAGCTAAGTGGGATAAGAAACAACAACAACAACAAACAGTATTTTTTTTTATCCCTTGCTCTTTTTTCCTGAAAAATGAAAAGTTTCCCTCTTTACAGTAAATTAATAACAACGACAAGAGATAGGAAAAGAACATTTATAACAGTAGTTCAAGGAGTAATCTATTATGATTTTTTTTTCCTTCCAATGTCTCTTTTATTCTGTTGGTAAATGAATCAGGTATTAAAAGGAGGAATTACGATATTATTGTTATTATTGATAGATGTAACTAAGAACCATTTGCAACATTTGCAAATATAAATTAGTGTCAATCAATTAAAATTATGCTTATTATTTAATAATATATTTATATAATATCAATGTCTTAAGACTTTTATGATAGGACTTTATATATATGTTGTAGAACATTTATGTCCAGTTGTGATCTTCATTTCAATGGGAAAAAAATTGTGGGCTGTACTTGGATGTATGTATGTATATAGGAAATAAAATATATTGTAATTGATATAAAATTATGGCAATTTATTCTGAGGATAAGATTTGCTGAGACAGACGTTTTTCCCCCAAATTCGTAATCTGGATATGAGCACTGTTGAACATTGGTTCATTCAAGACGGCCCCCTCTTCATACAACGTGTAGCGTATTTGAAATAATTAACATTGAGTTAAGAACCCGAGATATCGCGTATCAATACCTAAGCAGTTATCCTGGTGCATTGCATTGACCACCTTGTTCATCAGATATGAATCCATGAGATTGCTATGTTTGAGGTCATATGAAAGTTTTAGTTTACAAGAAGAAGTCGACAGATCTTATTAATCTCAGAAGGCCCATACCTGACGCATTTGAAAGCATTAAAAACGAAATTCTTGAATTTGTAAGTGACAACTTTGTGACTAGTTTGAGATATTGTATCACCTATGAAAATTATCTCTTTGAAAATTTTGTCCTTTAAATTTCTTTTCCATGTTCTTTTCAATACGATAAAATGTTTGTAGTGCTATCTGCAACGATTCAAGAGTTATTTAAGTTAAAAGTTGTAGGCTAATAAAAAATTTCCCCTTATGTATATATATATATATATATATATATATTAAAAATTCACTGAACATCTCAGAAAAAGGCGAAAATTAATTTTCATCATCATTCCGATCCCAAAATAGTCATTAAAGAGTTTTCTAAAGCACTGCTAATTCTGAAACTGAAGAAGCTGTCTATCGATCAGATTTTAACATCAAAAATATTTTACAATTAACTAACAGTAAAAAACAAGTAACCTTTACTTATTTGGCAAGTTGTCTTACCTAAAACTGAAAAGAACCTCAACTTTTGTTCATAATAGTTGCTTTAAATAAGCTAAATTCTACTGTACGAAAAGCCGATAAATTGTAAATATTTATCAACAGGCTTGCAATGTAAACAAACCCCTATTCAGAATTAGTCACGTCTATTTTTAATACTCTCACATGAGAATTTGACTGCAGAAATTCTTATAAGAAAAGAGTAGAAATCGTTGCTAGATCAAAACATTACATGCTACCTACAAATAATTCAATATTAATATATGTTTTATATTTCTATTTACTTTTTATAATGAGCCTATTCATAGCACAGTTATAAAATAACTAATTACTTTATAATATTAAGTTACGTAAAGTAACTAAATAAAATAAATTAATATATAAAATAATAAATTTGTTGAAAAATAAGTAGATGAATTCATGAATAAAAGGTTTTTAAACTTACTTTAATAGAATTAACAGGACGTTTTCAGAAAATATGATGTACTACTATTATCAAGAACCAAATGAATATGTGTTAAAAGGACTTAAATTTAAATTTAAAAATTTATTGAAAACAATTGAAAAATTCCCATAATTTAAAATGGCTTAAGATTAAATACCAATTTAAATTATTAGTAAATCTTATTATTACGGAATTAACATCCCATTATGTAATATAGGATTTAAATTAAAAAAATAATTTTTTGTTATAGTATGGAAGATTTTGAAATGAAATATTTTTATAATAGCATTAGAAAAAACGAGTGTTTCTTACAATTAAAGTATTTTAAATAAAGATTGTCCTTCAAAAAATACCTATTTATTTAATCTTAAAATTTCTGAAAATATGTAAATAATATTTTTTTTTACCGTATTTTATTTTTTGACATATTTATTTTCACAATGTGTTTATTTAATTACTAAGAATAGTATAATGGAAAGGTTACTTAATAAAACTGACGAAATATTTTAATAATATCTTAAATATCTTCTAAACAACACAGGTTTTTGATATCATTTTAGATTGTTGTAGTGATTTGCTGACACATTTTTTTACGCTTTTTGAAATTTTGATGAATCTTCTCCATTTTTATTTTTTCACCATTATTATTTTACGTAAAATTTATATTTATGGTAATTATGTGTTTTAAAATAATTGAAACATAATTTTACACTAAAAAAAATTTTTTTTTTCATAATTTAATTTTTTTTTAATATTTCAAATGCTCATTTTTATGATTAACCAAAATGTTTACAAAAGAAGCACTAATAACAATATTACTTTCAATATTAAAATTATAGTACAATATATTAGTTTAAGTTTTGCTCGTTTTCATTTATTAGTCTCAGATGCTCACACCTATTTTTTTATTTCGTTTTTTCCCCTTCTCTTTAATAAAGTATCCTAAAAAAAAAAAAAAAAAAAAAAAAAAAATAATAATAATAATAATAATAATAATAATAACTAAATAACGTATTAAATTATTGAGTGAATCCCCAATTAAAGTAAAATTATTGTAATATATATTTTCCTGATTTAACGCAAAAACTATATTATTGAACTTATAAAAGCAATTCCTTTTCTGTAAATTTATTGCATAATGGAAACTGGTTGTAATAAATGCAAAAGAACCTAACCTAAGAAATCTTATGCACATAATATTTAATAAATAAAATTTTAAATTTATTTCTTTAACTCTTCTAAATCATTTTTTTTCTTATATCAATTTCTTTTAACAGAAATATATTTTTGTAAGAAATAATTTGTATGAAATTGGCAGTTAACTTTTTATTTTGGTAAGTACCAAACTACTAATATTTTGACAGTCAAGTAAATGAATACAAAAATTATTTCAATTAATTTTATAGTATACTGTTTTTGATACGGCCAAAATATAAATTTTTAATGCTGTTATAGTTTATTAAATGAACAGAACTGTAATATTTCTCGAATAGATCTTGAATTTACTCATTTTAAAATCCTTAAGTTCAAAAACTATATTTGTGCATTCAAAATGCTTAAGACAAAAGCTTTACCAAAAATAATCTATGTAAAATATTTTTAAATAATAAGCACTAAACTGAAAGCCATTAATTGACGCTCAGGTCATGAAAAAAGTTCTTACTTGCTCTGAGATTTAGGTGGCTTTTGCAAAAGCTTGTTTCTAGATATCTAAATAAAAAATAATTTAATATTGGAAAAAAATGATATAATAATTTCAATTATTTTTAAAAATTTTAATTTAGAATTTTGAAATTACCATGTTTACATTCACTGTCGAGTTGAAATATTAAACTCTGCTTCTGAATCTGTAAGAAATAACTGCAACCGTAGTATTGTATTGTTTACTATTTACATTTTATCTGACGAATCTTTTGCCGGTAAGTTTCAATTTTTAATTTAAACTGTTTTTTAAAATAAAGTTTTTTTTTTCTGTAATTTTAGTTTCAATGTTATAAAATCGTTTTTTTCTAAAATTAATTTTATTATTTGCAATAGCTCGAATATCGCTGTTTAATATTTCCACTTTGCAGATTTTTTTCTTCATATTTATGAATAATCAGAGCTTTATAAAAATAAAATTCTTAAAAATTATGTGGTATTTTGAGTAATTTGAAGCAGAATAGATTATATTATGAAAGATATATTGTGGAAAATGGATTTCAGACCGAATTCTTATAAACACTATAAGTTCAATGAACTATGAAAATGTGTTATTTACTTTATTCCTTTCTCAAAAACTTTTATTGTTTACTTAAAGAAATTGAGCATATATCTTTTAAATAATAAATTGATGCATATGGTTTACATCAATTGAATACTTTTTAAAAGTATTTAATTTAAAAATATTTTGTGTTGCATCATGCTTCAAAATTTTTTTCCCTCAAATTACAATATATTTCAGAATTTCTTGTGAATAAAATATCTAATTATTATTTTTATTAAATGAATTTCTAACTATTATGTTTCTTAAATGCATTCTCTAGAAAATTAACACTGGTTTTTAATAATGCATACCATTTAACATGTTTATTTTATAACAAATATTTACTCTTAAATAAATAAATACAAAAAAAGAGAATAAATAAAAAAAGTATAATTACTGATAATGTGAAAGTTCTTTTTTTTTTTTTCATTTTACAATGTGACCTGACATGACTTTTAGATTTATGCTTATTAACTGATTGCTTTTGCAAAAATATTCAATTGCAAGCTTACCAGTAAAAGATATGTCAGAGAAAATGCAAATAGTTAACGGTGCTTTAAACACTTTGGTTGTAGTTCAGAGATTCAGAAACAGAGTTTAATATTTCAACTGGGCCATGAATATAGATATGCATTTCAATTGCAACTATTAAAGAATACAAAAAATAATAATACCCTATATCAATTCATAATTTATAAATCAGTAATAGTAACTATTAATAAAATATATTAATGTGTTTAAAGCAAGCAGTTT